CCCAGGCAAGAGAGTGAGACTGTCTCAAAAAAAGAAAAAAATACTATCACAAAACTCTAAATTAATATTGGGACTCATGGATTCCGATCAGCAATTTGAAAAGCACAGTATTATGGTTTATTTTGCCTTTAAAATTTTTAATTTTATGTGTGGTCAACGAAGTCTATCTTTGCAAGATTTTCTCCATCTTTAAATGTTCTTGTTCTTATATCTTTTGTGCGTGTGTGACACGTGAACTTTATATGAAATACACATTTCAGTGTTCATATATAGAGTCTTAGTGAAATACACCCATTAGTTTGCACATTATCTTTGGCTGCTTACTGGATACAAAGCAGTAGATGTGATGTCATATTTACTGTCTGGCCCTTTACAAAAAGGAGTTACTGCTGAACCCTGTAAAAACAATGTAGATTTTGGCAAACTAATCATCTGTTTAATCTTAAATGTCTTTTCTTTTCAAGAAATACCTTTGTTATGGTGGGATGGTATGGAGTGGGCCTGTAGTCCCAGCTACTTGGGAGGCTGAGGCAGGATCCCTTGAGTCCCGGAATTTGAGGTTGCTGTGAGCTACGATTGTACCTATGAACAACCACTACACTCCAGCCTGTGCAACAGAGTGAGACTCCGATCTCTTGGGGGGGGGAAAAAAAAGGCCGGGCGCGGTGACTCACGCCTGTAATCCTAGCACTCTGGGAGGCTGAGGCAGGCGGATCGTTTGAGCTCAAGAGTTTGAGACCAGCCTGAGCAAGAGCAAGATCCCGTCTCTACTAAAAAAATAGAAAGAAATTATCTGGACAACTAAAAATATATAGAAAAAATTAGCCAGGCGTGGTGGCACATGCCTATAGTCCTAGCTACTCAGGAGGCTGAGTCAAGAGGATTGCTAGAACTCAGGAGTTTGAGGTTGCTGTGAGCGAGGCTGATACCACGGCACTCCAGTCCAGGCAACAGAGTGAGACTGTGTCTCAAAAGAAAGAAAAAAAAATGGAAAGAAAGCAAGCTTTGTCCAAAATAATTTGTCTTTCATTAAAAAAATTATGTTTTGTCCAGAATACTTATTTTTTTATATTTAAATTTTTAATTTTAATTTCTGCGGCATGTTTTGAGATTGGGCTCAAACTTTCGTCTTGCACCATTAAAAAGCTAGTAATTTCTCCACTGCTTAGAAGTGCCAGCCTTTTAATACTAAATTAGTAAATACACTTGGGTTTAGTCTGTTAATTTGTTTATCCAGTGAGTTAAAATTATTAATGCTTTA